CAATTCGAACAAAATATGCTCTTCTTGGTGAATGGGGTAAATGGACATCTGTGAGTCAACAAAGATTTATATCCATAACTACAAATAAAGAGAAAACTCAAGCAACTATAACTCTTCAAGGTGTAGCTTCTGAAATAGTACCAGTGGTTCTTTTTAATTCTAATTTACATTCTGTTACTGTTAATTGTTCAATGTCGACTGAAAATGGTCAAGCAAACGTTGTAGTCACTCCAACTAGTGTCATTTGTTCTTAGAGATTTGATATAGATAACAAAAATATGTGATTATCCAAGAGAAAAAAAATTTCTTTTCTTTTTCATAAAATAAACTGTGCTGTCATATTTAGAAATTCTTGTTTTGCATTGAAATAAACTTTTTTATTAATTTTGCTTTGCTTTATTATTACCAATAATAGGCACAATAAGAATGATTTCAACTAGAATATTTCTTCTTTCTATTATAGTGCAGAAGTGATTGGTAATTCTTTGAATAACTAGATTAAAACAAAAGCAAGAAGTAGTGGTTGACACTAATCGAGAAATCTATGGCGCGTTTTTTTTTCTGTTAAAATTATGAATTTCTTTGTCTTTTGTTAATAATTATTATTTTATTTCGTTTTATTTATTAATTATTTAGATTATCGAATAATTATTATTTTCAAATAAGAGAAATTTAACTAATTGAAAAACAAAACTTAAATGATGAATAATTGTCATTCAAATTTTGATCATTGTTGGTCAAAAAAACAAAAGAGTAATCCAAATATTTCAACAAATAATTTCAAAGCTATTGAAAAATTGGGTAAAGGTGCTTTTGGTTTTGTTTATTTAGTCAAATGGTAAAATTATTTTTTTCTTGTATATAAATTTATTTCTTATATTAATCAATCAAGATTTGAAGGTATTACAATGAAAATAATATTCATGAAAATTTTCTTTGTGTATTAAAAATTACAAGTAAACAACAATTAATGAAAAATAAAGCACATCTATTTGCTTTAAGAGAAAGAGATATTTTACAATGTTGTCACCATCCGAATCTTGTTAAATGTTTGTTAGAAGAATTTTCCTTACACAAATTCAATACTTTTCTATTCATTTATGTATTTAGTATTCACTTCATTCAAAGATGAATCAAATATATATTTAGTACTTGAATTTATTGCTGGAGGTAAAACTTTTTATTATGATTGGAAAAAAGAATGTTAATACAACTCCTGCAGGATTCAAATACGAAATAGGATATGATTACCACGTTACGCAAAAGAAAACTTAACAGTCATTCCACATAAGCCATGATCGATCACGCTCAATCGATGGTCTTTGATTTGGTTAGATTTTGTCTATTTTATAGAAGCAAGTGTTTGATGAATTTTTATGCAATCCGTTTGACAAGAACTTTTATTCCGTTGTCGAGATATTCAAACTGTTCTGAAGTCATCATCACCAAACGTACATGTTTTGCGCCTTTTTGTGACAGATATATTTTATAATAAGTCTATTTGGCTGGAGATTTTTCAATGTGAATACATCTGAAAAGTTGAAGTTTTGATTATAGCGAGATGTCATTGAGTGCTCACTTTGTTAAAAATTTTAACTCTCTAGATAGTTCTTGGTACTTAGAAAACTTTCGTCAAAATCATGTCTTTCGGAGCAACTGATCTAGAGAAAAACCTAGTCTATAGAAATTGAAGCCGTATGATCTTAAACTAGAAACTGCGCATTAGGCTTGTTTTTAATAAGACTCCGCAGACTATTCTACAATGTTGCAGATCGATTTGTTTTGAACTGTGTAATATTTAATGTATAGTTTAAAAGTCATGCAACTCTGACTTCTATAGAGCAGGTCTTCTTTTAGATCAGTCGCTTCGAAAATCATGATTTTGAGCACAATCGCAATTTTGAGGAACAACTGCTGAGTGTCAAGAATTATATAGAAAATTCAAATTTTTAACAGAGTGAGCACTTAACATGATTCATTGATGAAATATGTATATACACAAAATAGCGAAAAATGACAATCTTTTCGTATACATGGTAGTATTAGTCGACTCATCAATAATTTATCTATTTGAATTTCTTTTTTTTATGGTAAGCACTCAAATCTCAGTTGTATCCATACTAAAAACTTCAAGCTAAACAGTTTTATTCATTATGAAGTATCGCTGTCAGAAAAAATTAAATGTCTCGATAATGAAATAATTGTTTTTGAAACGAGTTGCATAAAAATTCATCAAACATTTATTTTCATAACATGCAAAAAAAAAACTAAACTATATCGGTGACTATCGATTAAGTATGATCAGTCGTGCCTTACGCGGAATGGCTCTTAAATGAAAAATAACTCTGTCTTAAATACGCCGTTGCTAATACTTGTTAATATTTATGATGATTGATGAAGAGAAACGAGATCTAAAATTCTGCTTCTATATTTCAATATTCCTTTTAGATCATGTATTATAAAGAATATTTAGTGAATAATTTTAGGAGATCTTTTTTCTTATATGCAAATACAAGAACGACTTAATGAAGATCATACAAGATTTTATATTGGACAAATAATTTTAGCATTCGAATATTTACATGGTTGTCATATTATTTATCGAGATCTTAAAGTAAACATGATATAAAATATCATTAGATAAAATTCTTTTTGTTTTTTCAAATTTTTAAGCCAGAAAATATTATTTTAACAGATCGAGGATATATAAAATTAATTGATTTTGGCTTTGCTAAACGAACAACGAAACCAACATCAACTATGTGTGGTACACCACAATTTATGAGTCCAGAAATAATTCTACAAAAAAAGTAATTTAATAAATAAAGATTATAGATTCTTTTATTACTATTAGATATGATAAATGTGTTGATTATTGGGCATTAGGTATTCTAACTTATGAATTACTAACTGGTGACACTCCATTTGATGGTGAAAATGATGAAGAATTATTTGAAGCTATACTTCATAATCCTATTTATTTTCAATCTACTATATTTACTACAATATCAGCAAATTTTATTCAAGGTTTATTAATACGTAATCCATTTCAACGATTAGGTTGTACAATGCATAACTCATTAGATATTCGTTATCATCCATGGTTTCAACAATATATATATTCATTTGAACAACTCGAACAACAATCTATACCTGCTTTCTATATTCCATTGAATTTTACTGATTATACAAATTATCCTTTAAAATCTATCAAAGTTACACCACTTATAAATCCTATTAATGACAAAATATTTGACAATTTTTAACCAGCTTAATTATTCTTCAATCTTTATTAATACTTTGTTTTATCATTTTTTTTTTCATATTACAATAAAATAATAATAGTGAATCTATTTTCGATTACTAGGATCGTCATTATTTGTTACTTGTATATCACCACCAACAGAATCATGACCATAATTTTGTGACGTACACTTTTCCGCCAATTCGCTAGCTTGCATTGGAGCACCTTCAACAGAACGATCTTTATCATAGCATGGTAGTTCATCAATTTAAGCATTAGTATTCGGTTGATGAGCAGAGTTTGACGACATATTAATTTTAAAAAAATTCTTTCTATTTGCATCAAAAGACTTTTATACTATGAAACACGTGACACGCACGTTTTCCAATGATACATTTTACTCATTTCTATCGAACTAGTCATAAATATAATATCCCATTAGATGTCATACTTTCCTATTGATTAATAATTCAATAATAGCATCGAATTTTCATATGATATTCTTACATATCTATATATATTTCTAAGGCATAAAATGCACGAAAATGTTTTAAGATTTTAAGAGCAAACTACAAAGATAAAAATTATTATAAGTCAAAATACAATTCGTGCATATGTGTTGATATCTAGATTCAATCAATCATTGATTCAAATAAACACAATTGATTTTTTTTTACCACAGACAAAACATATTAGAAATACATAAACAATGAGAAAAATGTCCACTACACAAATTAACAAACAACAATAAAACATATAGAAATGTTTTTTTTTTCTTGGAAAAAAATCAAAAAAAAAAAGAAGCAAATGGCAACAATGAGACATACACACACTCACACACAAATGTTTGTTTATTTGTTTTTTTCTGAAATGATATTGCCAATTGAGAATACTTATAACGATTACATAAAATTTATTCCTCAACATAATTATAATTATTTGTTGAATGCCATGTTCGATTTGATATGTCTAGAAAATAAATGTATTTAATAATAATAATAATAATAAAGAAAAAAAAAATCAAATGATTTATTTATCACTGTCTTACCATTAGTTGATGTTTTTGATGTATATTTTAATTTTTGATTCGATGATGGTGGTCGAGGAATATCTACAGGTCTATTAACAACACCTGATGTTGATGGAGGTCGAGCAAAAAATGAATTATTATGATTAAAATTTCTTGATGTATGTTCATCACGAAAACTAACTGATGGACTACCACGAGCACTCTTTTAGTTAAGAAAGAAAAAAAAACAAGGAATAGCTTTATAAAAATCTCAAAATATTAATCATACTAAAGATTGACTTCGTCTTTTTCTTCCATTATTTTCATATCTTTCATTAGTTCGACTACGTGTTTGTTGTTCTTTACTTGTATTTTTTAATTCATGATCAGATTCCGTTTGTTGAAGAAGACTTGTTCCATATTTACGATGTTTAGCAATTAAAGATTCAAGTACACTATCATCATTATCCAAATAATTATAACGAAGTGTATCACTTGGATTTCGACTAATGAAAAATATTAGACAAAAAAAAAATTAATTTTATTATTATTTTTTTTTTCACCTATTAGCACGCCATGGTGGTTGTTCTAAACGACGATGAGTTGATGATGATAAATGAGATTGATTATATTGATGACGACTTGAATGTAAACGAGCTGTATCTTCATGAGGAGATAATTGATCATCATAATAACCACTTTGTGAACGATGAGAATATTCCTATTAGTAGTGAAATAATTTCAAAATTATTTTTATCATATATCAAAAATCTTTGAATAGAATTCTTGGTCAAAGAATGTGTAATATATGATTGAGATTTTTTTTTCTATCTCAAATAAGAGGTAAATATGCTCTTCGCTGAAAACAAGATTATCGAAAACTTACATCGCCGACTCGACGTGGAAATTTACGGTGCGTTTTCACGTCGTGTCGACGATGTCAGTTTTCGGCAAAGAGCATTACATTCAGACTCTTTTTGTCGGATCATTCCTATGATTATAATATAAGACTAACGATACCTTGAAGTGAAAGAAAGGTTCAAATTTTTCTATTTATGCAACGCTAATTACATTTGATATTTCACAAAAATTAATAAAAAAACTTTTGAAACAATCTGCAAAATAAGTTAGTAACAAAAATGCATAGCTTCTATATATTTAATTACGAATACTTGTCGAACCAAATTTCCTGTATCTATTGTTTGTACACATGTATCAATCATAGATACACTCTCATTAGATAATATAATTTTTTTTAAACCGATATCAGAAGTCGATAATGGTATTAATATATCCATCTGTTCAATTTTATATTAAAATTAATTTTAGAAAAACAAAACAAATATTTCTTTTTTTTTTCATACTCGAATAGGCATTGTTTGTAATGCTTGAATATTAAATGAATAAACACGTTTCCAAACATTACTTTCATATGGTGATTGACTTTGTTTTGGTGTCCAACCAAAACGAAGACATTTTGGCATCCAGATTTGATCTGATTCAGATAAAAATTTCCAATACCAACATACCTTTTAGGATTAAAAAAAACAAAAACAAAAATAACATTCAAGAAATTGAAAAGAAAAAAGTTTACTTGTGCACAACGACAAAGACTACGTGGATCAAGAAATGAAAATATATAAAGACCAAGTACACGTGGAAATAAACGAGTAAAATCTTGATGTTGTGAAGGAAATTTTTTTGTTAATAAATTTCTTGCATATGCTAATTGACGAGGATTACATTGTGCCAATATATCTTGAAGAGCCATACGACGTTGATCATCAGACCATTTTTCAAACTAAACGATAAATTAAAGTTCAATATTTAATTAAAACATTGATGTACCCATTTATTCATAAGTTGTTTTCGTTCATCAAATAACTAAAAAAGAAAAAGAAAAATATAAACTTTTCAGAAGTTTATTAAGTATTTGAAATAGAATATCCACAAAAAATATATAAAATTTTAAATACAGATCTTTTGTTATACGAGATAGAATAGATTCAATTCTTGAATAGTACGTATTAATTCCATCTGTAATCTATAAGATGAGCATACAATTGAAAGTAATTCTTCTTCTTCTTCTCATTTTATGAGAGAATCCTCCCGAATGTCTACTTGACTTTTATATGGTTTCTCGTCATTAATATACATCATAAAATTTGACTAAACTAAAAAAAATATTTGTATTGTCTAGAATGAACATATTTTATAGAAAGATAGATTTCGTTACTAAAATAAGTTCATAGTCATATTTGAATGTAAATGATTGAGAATTGATCAGAAAGAAGAAGATTACTAAGTAGTTCTACAGTTAGAATATTTTTAACCGTTGCAATAGTTTTAAATTCATTTCTTTACATAAATTCTTCGAGAACAATACATTTCAGTAAATATTAAATTCGAAAAAGTTGAAATATAATCTTAGGAATTTTGTACAGTATAATTAAAATTGAATAAAACATACATTCAACTTTTACAATTCTCTATTCATATCGTTCTAGAAATCTTTTATATTTATGCTCATCTTATTAGAATTTACAAAAATATAATAATTAACATAGAATCGATGAATTTCAAATCTTTGAATATCTTACTCGAGCATTTGTTTCATCATCTTGTAACGGTGTCCAAGTTGAATATAAACGATTTTTTCCTTTCGCATTTAATTTAGTTGAATTTGTTGATACCATTGTACGATCTAATTCATGTTTTAATATTGATTGTTCTAATTTTGCTGTCATATTTAAACCATTTATTGTTGTATTATGCTGTGGTCGATTACGTGTTGGTGTTGTCGATCGTTGTTGAGCACTTGTTGGACGTGCTGGTCGTCGATTACCAACAACTTCATTTGGATTAGGTGGATAATGATGAGAATGAGTTGATGTATTCATTAAATCAGTCATCTTTTACGTAATAGAAAAGTGACGACCTTCGCGCGTAATCTAAGAGGAACAAAAGAGAAAAAAAAGAGGAGAAGTATGAAATTCATTTAATTTAAAACTAAAAATCGTTGTTAAGCAACGAGAAAAGAGGAAAATGAGTATTGCATTAATCATAATTCATTAATGCATTTTATACATTTCAACATAACTTGATTGGTTATTGAAAATAAACCATTGAATATTATTGAATAAAAAATTTCTTTGTTCACAAAATTTTCGTAAGTTTTAATCTCGTCGTTTAGAAAAAAAACTCATAAATTTTATTTCTAATTTCAGATGACTGATGATTCACTTCCAATAGTGCCATCTTCTGATAGATTATTATTATCAAACAATAAAAAATCTTCTTCATCTTGGAATATTGATGATTTACAACATGAAGATGAATCAAATAGTTCAAATGATTTTTTTTCTGTTTTAAAAAAAAATGTTACTAAACATGTCTATTTGGATGAAGAATTATCTAATGATAATTGTTTAAAAAAAAAAGTAAATCAATGTTCAACAATTCATATTGATAGTAGTAATTTAATTTCACGTTGTAAAAATTTTCTTCCATTATTAACTGATGCTAATCGTACATTATATTCAAAAATAAAATCAGGTGAAAATGTTCGTATTGAATTAGATTCTGATCAAGATAATGAAAATGATGGACAAACAATTGAAATGAATTTAATGTTTTGTCCAAATGTTGATACATCATCTGAATCGAATAATAATTCCGATGAAAGTAGTGATGATGATGATAATCAAACGAATATTAAAATATTAAAATCTACGAAGAAAAATAATCAAGTTAATATTATTGAAATTCAATCAACAAATAACGATAATAATCAAGATGATAATAAATCAGAAGAAATTATTAATACATAATCTTTAGTTATGTTTTGTTTTTTTTTGTTTTCAAAATTACATAAAAATTCGAAAAAAGAAATTTGTTAAAAATAGATTTTGTTTCTAGATATGTAAATCATTATGTCAGTATCTATAACAAATACAACAGTTCCACATGCACCGACAGCAGTTACAACTACATCAATAGATTCAACGAAAAATGTTGAACCACTTGCTGTTCGAGGTTAGTTTTTTTTTTGTTTTTTGGAAGAAAAGTGAAGATAGAAATGACTATTTTCTTTTATAGTAATGCGTCTATCAAAACCGACCCTATATCAAAATATACCAGTCTATGCTGAAGAAGAGTCATCATCATCTGCAGCTGCATTTCTTGCTGGTCAATCACATGATATAGCCATTGGAAATGATCATTCAGTTTTAAGTCATTTACTTGTCCTTCCCTATAGTTTTGGGTTAGTTTATAACCTATGGTTTTTTTTTAAATAGACTTTGCTAATGTTTGTTTTCGGATTTAGAAATGTATTTTTGGGTGAAATATTTTCTGCAATTGTTTCATTACATAACCAAAGTGATCAAATATTACGAGATGTTATACTTAAAGTAAATTGAATTAGAATATAAAATTGATGTTTGAAATTTTTGTTTTTTTTTGTATCTTAGACAGATATTCAAACAGCTACACAACGTATTGCACTTAATTCAAACGATCCAAATGATTCGAATAAAATTGAATTAGCACCTGATCAAAGTATATGTCGAGTTTTGCAACATGAAGTTAAAGAACTTGGCAATCATTCGTAAGTATTGAACAAATATCAGAATCGTAACTCGAAAATGATTACATTCATTATTGAATAAACTAGACTCAATTTGTGATATCCTTCGAGCATAAAAAAAAAGATGTTAGAAATCAAATGGTGCATTGCATTACAGTAGCTAGATATTTTCATCGAGAGTTATGTTATGAATAGAAACGAAATTATTTTATACTGGTCATGTCATTATATAAACATATTTAGATATTAGATCTTATCCAAAGAGACAAATATCATATAGCAAAATAAAGTATATTAAAAAATTTATCGAAAATATTTCACAAGACTAATATATATGTATTTTAAAAAAGAATCACATTTTCTCCGTTATAGTAGAACCATTACGTGCAAGATTAAGTCATATAAACAGGAACTTATGACAATGTCTTTCGTGTTTCATTGTTTATTGCGATATTAAATGTTCCTATCTTTATGAGAAGATTAATATATATGAAAATAAAGTATAAGAACTTAACATGTTATAACCAATTATAGTCGTATTTTTTCAGTATACAGTGTAGTTTTTGTTTCAAGAAAGATATAAAATCATTGTAAGAATTTCAGAAAAAAAATTTGATGATATCTATTATAATTGTATGAAATAGGGATAAAATCGATATCCATGACCGGTTCAGTATCGGTAGTATTTTATCAAGATTTTCTATTTCAAAGGCATGTTGTCTTCATCCTTTCAATATTGAATAGTACAGTACAGATTTTAAGCTGATCGATTACTGGCCGAATTAGAAATATTTATTAAACTAAATGAATTGAGTTATCTTTTTTTATCAATAAAGTCGATATTCGTTTAATAATTTAAGAGATTGAAAGAATGGAACTATAGTTCGATTTGTATTTTAATACTATAAGAAAGAATTATAATGTGCTATTACATAGATATCTATAAAATCAGTTGGAGTATCTGATAACACACACACCAATATAACGTAGAATGAAACACAAAGAAAGATATGTTATGCATTCCCAGAATGAAGTTCATAGTATATAAAACTTATGATACAATACAAATAAAATTAATTGACAAAAATCGTTTATATGTCTATATAGATCAAAACATAAAGTTCATTCATCTAATTATTGATAATATCATAATAATCTTGCATGTAATACTGCAGTTTGATGTTTAGTCTTTAGTATTTTCTTCTATTGTTATGTACATGGCTGATTAGTTATCCCGAAAGAATAAGTTCATATATGATCTTGTGTCTAAACACCATACAATAAATATGTTGAACAAAGATTATTGTACGAATAAAAATCGCTATACTTGAACTTATACAGTAATTGTGCACAGAAACAAAGAGATAATAATATAAATAGAGGATTATAACGGTAGATTTATAATCAATCGATATCAGTCTATAGTATATGAAAAGTACAAGAACACATTATCATCAAATGAAAATAAATACAAAAAGATATCAAATTTTCACTGGAACTTTTAATTAATTGTATTATAATAACAATTCGAATAGCAGTACCAGTTATCAAAAATTCAAAACCGTTTCATTTCTATTATAAATAAAAACAATATGAATTCGCTATATTTTTAGTCTAGTATGTACTGTTACGTGTATTGATCATAATAATGAAAAATGTAATTTAAAAAAAGTATTTAAACTACCGGTAAGAAATAAAATCAAACTCAAAAATAATCATAAAATATGATTTTAGGTTGGTAAACCAATTGATTTAAAAACACGATTTATTTCAAGTGCAAAGGTACAAAATTAATATTTTTTTTTTCTTTTTATCTTTTAATTATTTTTTTTCTTTTGACTAATAGCATGATGAATATTATGTTGTTGCTGATATTCAAAATCAAACTCCATCAATTTTAAATATGACGTTTGTTTTTTTACTTTTTCTTCTCTAATAACAATTCTTTCATTAATATTCAATTTTAATAGAACTGTTGAATTAGAACCATCAAATGCATATATTGTAAAAAATTTAAATAATCTTCATTATGAAAATTCAGAACATTCTGAAAGGTATTTTATTGTTTATTATAATTTTTTTTTTATTTAATGTTTTTAGTTCTCTATGTGAGTCATGGCGTTTTATACGTCCAAATGAAATAGCAACATATATGTTCTATTTAAAACCACGAAATGATATTACTTTTGAACAATTACATACAACACCAACATTAGGTAAACTTGATATTGTTTGGATGTCTGGTTTGGGTGAACGTGGTCGTTTACAAACAAATCAATTACCTAAACCTGTAAAAAAAAAAAACTTAAAATTATTTATAAAATAAAATTGAAAATTCTGTTTTACTTAAATAAATAGACTCCATCAATAACAACAACAAATCTTGGATATTTACCTGATTTACGTATATTTTTAATACGTGGTCAAGGTCAATGTTATGTTGAAGAAGCACAAAAATTTTCTATTCGAATATTAAATTGTACACAACGTACAATGGATTTATCATTAAGTTTTGATAATTCATTTTCTAAACGTGAACAATTTTTATGGATTGGTATTATTAGTAAACAATTAGGAAAATTAGATGCTCATCAAACATATGATATTGAATTACAACTTGTACCATTAACATGTGGATTAAAAGTAAAAGATAAAAGATTTTTGTATTTTTAAAATGAAATGTTTTCTTTTTAGCGTATTGGTGGTTTAAGATTAACTGATTTAACAATGAGACATACATATGATTTGGAAGATTTTCATCATCTATTTGTGTTACCTAAACTTGTGCTTTAATAGATATTATTTAAAATTATTTAATTTTTCTTTTTTTTGAAAAAAAGAAAATTTTCACTTTAAAATTTTAAATATTGATAAAAATTATTTATTTTAATTTGTAGATTATTTCTATTTGAATCAAAAGAAATATCATGTCGGCTGAAAGTGATGTTAATCCAAAAGCTTATCCATTAGCTGATGCTAAACTTACAAAGGATATTCTTGATCTTGTTCATCAAGCACAAAATTATGTAAGTTTGTGTTTTTTTTAATGATTTAAAAAAAATATTTTTTTTTGTTTTTATCTCTTTTAGCGTCAATTACGTAAAGGTGCTAATGAAGCAACTAAAACACTTAATCGTGGTAAATCAGAATTAATAAGTAAGTTAACAAAAAAGAAATTATTTGAAAATGAAAAAGATTTTATTTAGTTATGGCTGCTGATACAACACCTATTGAAATTTTAATGCATTTGCCATTATTATGTGAAGATAAAAATGTTCCATACGTATTTGTACGTAGTAAACAAGCATTAGGTCGTGCTTGTGGTGTAACACGACCAGTTATTAGTGCAAGTATAACGATCAATGAAGGATCACAATTAAAACCACAAATTCAAACACTTAAACAAAATATTGAAAAATTGTTTACTTAAAATTTCACAAAAAAAAAGAATTAATAAGAAAAAAAAAGTTAGAAGAATAAAAACAATTTGTGTTTGAAAAAAAAAAGTTCTTCATTTTCTTTTTTTTTTGTTTTTGTTGTTTTTTGTTATTATTTCTGTGTCACCATCATTTATATTTGATGGGATGAAATAAAAACACATCATGTAGGAATATCCTTAGTTTTATTTGCGAAGTGTTTATTCACAGTTTAAACATTTTTGTAAAGATAAACATTTATTCTTTATCTGAAGTTCATATCAATCCTTAAGAAAGGAAAATCAAATCATACACAAAATTATTTTCTATTATCGAACACTTTTTTCATTGTATGAGTTTAGTCTAGTAGATACTCTTATCGTATATCTGAAAGAACTCTTGGTCAAACTTTCTTGTACGCTACTATGTAAAACCAATCGTTTTAATATCAAATCCTTTTAAAGTCTGATAGTCGCTGCGAATTCTTATTGAGATCCGTAGGATGAAAAAGAAGAGTTCGATATTAAACGTACACAACCATTTAAATTCTATAGGAATCCTTTGGGGTGTAACGTGCAACCTATAAGGTTTCGTTTTAAACTTGAATAGCTTCGTATTGAGGATGCCAAATCATTTTTGGGCCTATGGATCTCAGAAAACGCTTCTCAACCATTATGTTCTCAATAATTTAAGCTATTTAAAATTTTCAAAAATTTTACAATAGAATGTGTAGTTAAATTTAAGAAATTCGAAAATGTAAAATAAGAATAATTCATTAGTGTGTAGAAAAATTGTATTCGACCTTCCTGCATTTTTCGAAAAGTTTGAATAGATATTTCTATAAAACTATGATAGATCTAACTCCCTCTCATATTACTTCAACTTTCGGCATAGTATAGTATTTCAGTGTAGATTCTGTACTTATTAACAATTTAAAACTTTTATAAAATTCATAAAAAAAAAATTATAACTTTTTAATAAAAAAAATTCTCCATTTATTTATTTTAGTTAATACATTTTTTATGTCAACAACAACAAATCGTCTTTCATTATCATCAACTTCTACATATATGCCCAATAAATTTTCTAATCTTTCTGATTTACTTCAAAGGTTTTATACAATAGTAGAAAATTTAAAACAAAATCATCAAAATGAAATTGAACAGTTAAATAATGCAATAAAAAGTCTTGAATCTGAAAATAAACATTTACGTGCATTACAGGAACAACATCCACATTCTATATTTGATATTAATTATATATCACATGATACATCAACTATGAATCAACTTCATACAGAACTTGAACGAGCACAAAAACAAATTGAAACTTTACAAACATCATTAAATACACAATATTCAGAATATGAAGAAATGAAAACAAAATATAATTTACAACGTTTAATGAATGAAAATCATTTTGATCAACAAAATTCAAATGCCGATTCAAATAAAGTTAAAGAACTTGAATTAAAATTAAAACAAATTAAAGATCAAATAAATCAATTTGATCAATGTAATTATGAAAGTGACGAACAAATACGTTTATTAAAACAATTAATATCAAATAATGAACAAGAACAAACAAAAACTATCACACAAAGTTTAACAGTTAAACAATCAGATTTATTACAACAAACAACCATTGTTGAAAATATTTTAAGTAAACAACAAGATAAAATTATAGATAAAATTTTAGAATTACTTAATCAAAATCCTCGACAAGATCAACAAATAACAACAAAAAATAAAAAACCTAAAAAGAAAAGATTATAATTTGCTTGTATTGATCTAGTTTTCTTTTTTTGTTTATTCTTAATACTCATCTTTTTTTTTTGTTTAATATCTTTCTCAATAAACTACGGAATAGATTATTGCATTAATATCAAACAGAATTATTCATCATTAATAGAATATTCAAGTGTTAGAAATCTTTAAGATGAATAAATAGGGCTATGTCCAAATTGCGAACAAAAATTAAGCCAATTAAGAAAAAAGTGTTCGCAATTTGGAACACAGAAAATAACGTTGATCTTATTTTTATTGCGTTTCCAAATTGCGAACACTTTTTATAATTAAGTAATATAGTTTTAATTCTTTTTATTTGACAAGTCAATACGAATTTGTCATTTGAATATATAATAATAAATGAGAATAATGATGAGCGAAAATAAAAAATAATATAATAATTTTTTTCCTTTTTTTAAATATTTTTATTATTTGTAAGAAAATACAATAATAACAAGAAAAAAAAATTATTATATTATTTTTTATTTTCTTTCATCATTATTCTCATTTATTATTATATATTCAAATGGCAAATTTGTGTTGACTTATCAAATAAAAAGAAATGATACCATTCTTATTCTCAAACTTCTATATTTATATTATTAATAAAATTGAAGTCATAATCAGCTATTGAAATAACTAATTAATCAAAGTGTTCGCAATTTGGAAACGCAATAAAAATAAGATCAACGTTATTTTTGTGTTCCAAATTGCGAACACTTTTTTCTTAATTGGCTTAATTTTTGTTCGCAATTTGGAAGCTACGATAAATAGTTCAAATTTTGCAAAACTTTTCTTTTTATTAACATAAATATTCAATCTGTTGAATAATATTATATTTTTCATGACAACTGTTTATAATTTCAATTTCATTGTAATAATTGCCATTGAAATACGTTTCAAACGACTATTTACTATACTTATGAGTTCAAATAAAACATATTATATTAGAAGTAATTGTATGTGAAGTATTCAACATTTGAACAGATTACTAATTTGTAGAGTATTCACCACATCAATTGATTCGAGTTGATGCATTTAAAATTGAGTCATCATTAATATTCTGAGTATTTCTATATGTGTGGTTATGCATGAGCTACAGTTTGACTGGTCGACTGCATCTCACTCAAATCGGTTACATATTTAGTGTAATTGCATGAATTTTGATTAATCCTCGTTGTATGACTACTAATTATTATTCATGTTGGGTATACATCAAACATTGCCTTTAACGGCTCAACTGGTACTAAAGTAACTCGAATCATTGCATATCTCTTTTCTGTGTTGACTAAAATCATAGATGAAGTTTTCTATTACAGTATTTTTGTTTTCTCACGAAACGAAAAGCTGTAACTATGAAGATATTGAATACTTGAACTTTTTTTTTGTTTCATTTTATCATCAATTATTGTGTAATCATAAAATGTACATTTTACTTTGAGTTCACAGTGAATTAATGATGAAGCAAGAACGTTCTTAGAGAGATCACAAGGAACATTGATTCTATTAAAAGTATTTAAACACTTGAACGTGATGTCGATTGAATAACTTTAATAAGTTGATAGTAAACTTTTAACTATCGATCCCGTACTCTTCCTTCTTCTTTCTTAAAAACCTCCGCTGGATATTCATACAAAGGATAAATTATCTCAAAACAGTAATATGAACAGTATCATTAACATCCTCATACAATTTCAATGGATTAATGAATGCATAATACTGAATATTTATAGCAACTAAAGTCATACATTTCTATTTTTAAGGTCGTATTATATTTCATCATATAATACTGGTAAAAGATTAGTCGAGTCAGATGATTTTTCAGCAGAATCATCGAGAATGACACGTTTTGATTATAAATAAGTCTGATATCGTATATTAATAAATGAAAACAGTGTTATTTTGCCATATTTAGATCTATGACATTGTCGAACTCAATATAATATTAAATCTAAAATTAGTACAATAATTGAAAAGAAATACATTTTTCTTTCTGTTCTTAGACATACTTGGTATTTTTTGAAATATCATAGAGGAAACGATATTAGGAAATCATTTGTACATCTACAAACACTTTACTTAGATTAGTTTCATGATAAAAAAAAAGGACTTTAACAAGTAGAAAGCTATTTCTTTGCTAATGAAATTACATGAATGCTATTGTTTTTTTTTTACAGCTAAATATTTAGGATACAATCTTTGAATAAATGTGAAAAAATACTCATAGATATCGACAATAGGCCTTTGAATCTTCTATCAATTTATTGTCAATGATGAATCAATGATAATTAAAATAAACACATTCGATTAAAAATATTTGGCTAATCATAGATTTGGCTATGTCAATATGAAATTGATGAAATAGACTTATAATTAAATGTCTCTTAAGACTTTAGATGATTAATTCTATTTTTAGACTGCACCACTGAGATAACGAAATTTAACAATAGTTCATTGTATTAATATTTGTCTTTTCGAGTTATGATCGTTCATGAAGTTCAGAATGTCTCAAAGTATTTTAGAAAATGAGTAATCGTTGACATGACTTACTTTTTTCGCACTTTTTAGAATACTAATACAAATCCTAGTTGCTATGTCAACCTCAAGTTCAGAACCTGAAGGCGAAAAGGATAGAAATAAGAATAAAAGCTGAGATAGGTGCAAAAGTTCATTTTACAGAATTAAGATTATCTTTAGGCCCTTTTAGGACAATTACATACTATTACAAGATAAATCCTGTAATTTGTACAAATCACGTAGATCTAACAAGTGTGTTACCGTAATCCGTCAATTTTTCAATCCAAATATATAGCCTTTTTTTTTTAAATAATTAAACTACAAAAAGTTTCTTAAATATTAATAATTTATATTATGTATATCAATCAGTTCAGCGATACCCTTTGTGTTGAAGGACTACAACTAATATATTTCAATAAGTGAATAGTATGACATATGACAGAAAGTCTGCCGAGACTCTTTTCTACACAAAACTGGCTCAAGGCAAGCAAGCTTGGAGTGGTGTGATATTTTTGTTTGATAAGGGGCAATGATTTTTAACTTGTAGAACCAAAGAAAAATTTTCAGTTTTGCTAGAAGAAAACGAACTTTTTCATGATTGGGAGGAAGATGCTACAAACTTTGACATCCACTCACACTCAACTACTTATCCATGTGTGGACACTGTATGCAACAGAAGCTGAGATGTATTTATATTACCATATTTCTTATAACGATGTACACTGCTCTGGTCAATCATATCTTCTCAATAGCCTCATTTCTAAATAAAGGTTTATCCCATCCGTGAAATTTTTGCATTGAGTGGAAAAAACTCTTATATTTTTGTCAACATCTTATGGCTAGTGTCTTTATTCAGCATTGTTATTGTTGCAATTGTTATTTATTGTAGTACTAGTTATCATTCTTATACAACTTGTATCTATGAAATCTATATACCATTGAAACATAAGAAAATGATAACAATTACTATAAACTAATAAAGAATCTTTTCCTACTATATTATACTTCTGTTTCTTTCTTTATTTTTAATTTTGTACATAATTTACTTGTGTTGCTTGTACATAATATATATACAATTTCGCTTTATTTTCTTTCTGTATAAAAAAAAATTATAAATGTACTTAAGATATATCAAATTTTTTTTATTTTGTGTAATCAACAAAAATGTTTTTATTTTCTTTGATATAAAATTTTTCCTTCTCAAAATATATGTGTGTTTAATCAAACTTTCATATTGTTTTTCTTATTGTTTGTGTTGAAACTCATAAAAATTTTATTTATAACTTATTCGATGACAGAATTGAAATTAAATAATTATTGCATCTTGTTTTACATAGAGTTAAACAGCATTACAAGTTTATTTAAATTCGAAAGTGAAACTTCTCTAAATGAAATAATTTTTTTTAGTCTAACAAATTCTATATGTTTGGTACTATTACTTTTACTATTTATATATAATTGTTCTGCTAATATAGAGACATGATCTAGAAAAACACAGTTTTATTCATTTATTTTTGACATTATCCATTTTTTATAGGACGATTTAACCATTACAAATTAAAAACAAAAAAAAAGAAGACTAGAGTGATACATCCTTCAATGAATTTTTGCTTTGTCAATCGTTAATAGATCAGAGTGTTCCTATTTTGAATTCATCTTATGTACAGTCGATGCATTGATGGCTAGAGAAAAGCTATACAACATGATATACAGACATTTTATAAATATAATTTTTCAAAATTGAAGAAAAACAAACTGTTTCTCTAATGAAAGATCTCTGGCTGATTGACTACACATCAATTCTTTTTGTTTTCTTTAGTATAAATGATCAAAAGTTAACGTTTTATTTACAATACATGTCTTTGAAAACTTTGAAAATAACAAATTCATACATACATCTGCATATGTATTTATATATTTTTACGTAATGCAAATAAATATCTCTGAGACATATGTTTGCTATGCTTTTCATTTACTATAATGAAATATAGATGTTAGTTTGTAGAATATTCGTTTGTTATTTCTTAATTAGTCAAATTATTTAAATATTTTACATTTAGAACAAAAGTAATATATGTATATATAATATTCAAGTATCACCAGAACTATTTATGCAATAATGAATAACTTTTATATGGAATTCTATTCAAATCTGAAATATCGTAGTTTGACCATTAAGAGTCAATATTATTTGAAAATTTCTTTGCTCGTATGTGGTAATAACTTCAGCAGATATAAATATATTCCTGTGAATGAATTTTCTATCAGAATAATAACATCAGCGAATCTGTTCAAAAGACAAAAAAATTTTCTATAGAAAATTTAATATTTTTATAATTATATTAAAATCAATGGTAAAGTTATTATTCCCTCTTGTATTATTTTCAAATACTTAATAATATTATCTTAGATACATCATCTTGTTCTCTTCAGTCGTTATACATTCTTAGAGTAAAATTTTTTTTATGTATTAGATAATAGCTGTTTTTCATATATGAAAGTCATTCTATCAAAACACTTAACATAAGACTTTCTGTGTATATTTTTCATAATGAAGTTTAAAAAGAATTCTATCATTGGATGATGAAATTGGAAAAAAAACTAGATTATCTTTTTTAAGTAGTGTTACATATGTAGCTATAAATGGTAACGATATTAATAAGAACAAACTAATATAAAGCACATCTCTCTTGTGCTTCTCCGAGAGCATATAAGTATTAGATACAATACTAAATGAGTCCGAGATTGATCTGAATTAATTTCCGTTCAATGTTAGACCTCAAATTCGACAGTCTTATATTGGACGGTAACAGTTACATATACTTGTTCATCTTTATTAAGAAGTCGAATGCAAGTTTTCTAACATAGCTGCATTTCGAATCCAAAATCAACTGGTGTAAACCAATTGAACTAAAAAATGCAAAACATATTGAATATAAAATTAGATTATCAACAAAATATCATTTTATTCATTAATAGTAGAGTAAATATTAAGATTCTTCAATTTTTCTATATGTATCCATACCAAATCTTAATAATTAAGTCTTGTTCTATTTATTTGTTTAAAAATAAATGATTACTTTCATACATTGTCTTTCAACATTGGTTTTTTTTCCATTCCTACAAGATTATAAATAAATCTTGATGGATTAAATAACATTTGCATTTGTTGTCTAAATAAATTCTCATGTCTAATCGAAGTTTTTAACTAATTTGACACTGACTTTGTTCTTACAGTATTTTCTTTTATTTTGAAAAACTTTTTTCATAGATAAATACAAAATAAAAAGACCTGTGAACAAAACGTTTGACAAAATCCAATTCGTTTACAAGTTTTTGTTTATATAGAACATCATATAATTTATTATAAGATGTCTATATTCAAGCAAATCATAGTTTTTCTTTAGATCAAGCAATTCCAATTACTAAAATGTTCTTGTATAATACTGTTTAAGAAAAGTAGATGAAATGAGAATGTTCTTTGTGTTAATTACATAAAACTTATCATTAGTTATGACATAGCATAAGAAAAATGTCTTCTATTTATATTGATTATCTAAACAAAATTGTTCAATAATTATCATAAATAATCTTAGATTTAATTATAAAAAATACAGGTTACTGATATATTTTCAAAAAATTCATTATCAAAGATTGACAAAAAAAAAAAGGAAAACTAAAGTACTTAGAAAATGATTTTTTTCTTGTATATAGACATGAAAGAAAATGATGATAATTAATTGTATTTTTTCATATTTCGAAAGATTTTTAATGAAAAAAAAGAAACAAATCGGATTATTGTCAAGTCAAAAATTGTTATCTATTATAAATGACATTGAATTAAGATTGTTTGTTTTTTTATTCAATAGAATCTAAATCTATTTCAAGCACATCAAATAATCAGAATAATCATCAAAAACTTTTTCATTTCTTATTAATTTCAAGAGTATAACAGAAAAAAAAAAACGTGATATAAGAAAAAATCATTTATATTTAATGAATTTTATTTGTATTCCAATGTTTGAATTGAACGATCATGATCCGATTTTCCACATCTTTAAACGACTTTTTTTTCTTCTTCTTCTTCTTTGTCTTGAATCGCTCGCGGAATTGATATTCGTTAAATCAAACGATAGCCGCCTGTATATACCGTCTTCGTTCTATTCTTATCGTCTATTATCTCTTGAATAATTTAGTTTTTTTTGTCTACTCATACCTACAAAGAACAAGTAAAAAACAAAAAAAAAAAGATTCCTACTATGTTCAAAGGATACACTATAGAAAAAGAAAATCTATTTTCAACCACTTCAATTATCAAGAAAAAAAATGAACAAGCGCTCGAATTTCTCAATTGATGCACCCTAATGAATGTCCTGAGACATATAGGTAGATGACAACTGTGATTGACGTGTGCGTGCTACTGTCACGCACATTCATATATATATATATATAAAAAAAAGGCTAAAAAAACCTAAATTAATTGCCATTTCTTTTACTGCACATGTCGCAGAAAAGAAGAAACAAACCTATATACACACGATATAACATTCTTTCGGTTTTTTTTTAGTTTAAGGTGTATTACCATATTAATTAGATCAACATAAAAAAAAAATGCCATGAGGTAAACAACCTACATTCTTTTCTCTCAAATATGATAAGTGTGTACAAAGATGATCAAACGTATATGTATATAGTCTATGTTAATGTGCGTGGTATGTGAGAATGTCTCAAGCTTATCTTATTTTTTATGCATATCATTTGATGAGCAAAGTCAATATTGTCAATAAGAAGAAGAAACAGGTGTCTATAGCAAAAAAAAAAAGAAGAAGACGAAAAGAAAATTGAGTTTTATTATTTTTTTTCATACGTGTTTCATATTTGTTATATATATATATATATGTTATTTGCCTGAAGGAATAGATTTTAATTTGATGCTGGCGTCATAACAAGTTGTTCACACTAAATATAATAAACCGATAATCCTTTATCTCAAGCTAAAGAAAAGACAATCTGTACCCATCGAATAGTTTTCAATGAACAAAATATACTTTCATAATTGTAAAACGTCTGAGTTATATGTACGTAGTTAACCTCATATTTTTATTATTTAAATATTTTCATTGGTTTGTTTTCATCTTAAATATGATTGGTTAATATAAAATCATTTTTTTTTCTCTCAATGTACTCATAAAAAATCTCATTGGATAAAGAAAAAAAAAAGAGAAATACACGCATTGCTTGTCAATCAACAACGACTAACGATCATCGCGTGATACACTCGTTTTATTACAACGGAATAAGAGAAAAATAGAAAGAGGAGAAGAAGAAGAAGAAGAAGAAACTCTTGAAAAAGAGAGTGAGAGCGCGCGCCCATACAACAGAGAGAAAGAGAGAGGCAGAGAAAGAGAAAAAAAAGATTGTGCGTGTTCGATGTTTTTTTTTTTCATCATCAGTTCTAATCTATTTGAAGTTTGAGACGATTCCCATTCACCCATTCATATACATTGTTATATCTTAGCTAAGAGAAAAAAAAAACCTGGTAAGTATTTATTTATGAGTTTAGCCCCGATTTATCTGGGTGTTACCAACACCCATCCATCACCTTATTCAATCATACATGCATGAAATCTGACACGTGTTAATGCCGATTGAAGATAGTCTTATCATAACTAGAGATGAGGAGAAAAAGCCAAAGACTTTTTCTATTTGAAAAATAGATTAAATCATTATGTTATTAATTCTAGCAATCGTGGCTTCCGTTAATAGTACAAGTGCAACATCAAAATATCCATCACCACCATTAGGTGATTATTATTCAAATTATGTTGCAGCTGCATCATCTATGGCTGGTGATCCATCAGCATTAAAATTTGGATATACAGATCCAACTAAAGGTGTTCAATTTGCATTCGGTTTTCCTCAACATCCAGATTCATTTTCGGCTTTATCATACAATGGTAGAGTTTATTTAATATTAAATTTCATTAGTTTATTTATTTATTTTTGTATTTTATGTAGGTTCATCACAAAGAAAACAAAGACGTGAACGAACAACATTTACTCGTGCACAACTTGATCAACTTGAAACATTATTTGATCGAACACGTTATCCTGATATATTTATGCGTGAAGAAGTTGCACTTAAAGTTAATTTACCCGAATCAAGAATACAAGTAAATATAAAATTATAAGAAAAAACAAGAATAAACTTTTTTACTCTGTTTTCTTTATTTTTATTTTTTTTGTTTAAGGTTTGGTTTAAAAATCGTCGTGCTAAATGTCGACAACAAGATAAAGCAACAAAAAAGCCTTCATCATCATCATCAAATATTGGTATACATGACAAATCAACATCATCCAATGAAACTTCACTTTCAACAACAACACCATTAACAACATGTAAACGTGAAGCAAAAAGTCCACTTATGATTAGTCCAAATGGACGAATAAATTCTTCACAAATAACTAATAGTCGTTCACCACCATCAACATCAAGTACAAATAGTTTAAATGGTGGTGGAAGTAATAGTTTATGTTCATCAAATTCTACAACAAGCAATACATTTTATCGTTCACCAACATCGGATAATTCAACAGCGGCAGCAGCAGCAGCAGCAGCAACATCATTAGCTGCATGGTCATCACAAGCTGCTGCTTATCATCATATATATCCAACATCATATAGTCCAAATCAACCATCTTATCAAAGTGGACTTTTTTATAGCAATGATCCACAACATATTTATAAAAATAATTCAACAACAACGAATAGTCCACCTATGTATGGTACAGCAACAAGTGCATTAACATATCGTAATCAAGATATGGATTTTCTTCAACCAACAGCAATGTATGGGCGAACAAGTGATGAATTTATGGGTTGGACAGCATCACATCATCATCATCATCAAAACTTTAAAATTTTCAATTAACTTCTTTTCTTTTTCTTTATTCTTTTTTTTTTTCCTATTCTTTTGTTTGTATGTTGTGTCTGTCTTAAAGCTTGTGGGCGAACAGTGTAAATGAATAAATATGAAGCGTCATATTCATTTTTTTTTGTTTTGATAACACACATTTGGGAAAAAAGCTGTTAAACAAATGAAAAGCTATTTAATTGGATGTAATGATGTCTACTCTTGAAAAGTATTGACACATATTGCGAGATTTAAGGTTTTTTTTTCTTTTTGTTCAATAACTATATATATATATATATATTTGTTGACAGAAGATGGTGGGTGGAGAGATTAGCCCATTTGTCAATAAACTAAAAGAGCCATATGAAGACAATCAGTATAAAAGTCAATCAAAAAAGCTTGACTTTCCTATTCTTCATTCTTCTTTTTTTTGTCTGTCTTTTGACAATGATGACATCAATTAGTTTGAAAGTGTAAAGATAGTTTTGCTTTTCTATAGATTAAGAAAAGTCTATAAAATGAATATTACTTGTTCTTCATTTTTTTTTGTCTCTCGACCTTATTGCCGGAGAGAAGCTCATAATAGATGATTTTCATTTCAAGAAAAGCACACATACTCTCTATTTCAAAAATAATGATAAATTGAAAAAACTCATTTTGGTTTTCTTTTTTTTGAAATAAAAAAAAAAATGTTGTTTATGTCATTCATGCTGAGTGCGTGAATATGAAACATTGTTAGTTGTATATGAATTCTTTTGTCATAAGCCGATTAGTCGGGATTCTCTCTTCAAAAGATTCTCATTTTCGATCGAATGAGTTATGTTTTTTAAAATACAATGATGCAAACACTAACATAGATAGGTGGTCTGTTAAGCCGATGGTTTTTTTTTCTTTTACCACCTGAATTCTATGCTTACTATAGTACTTCAGAAAAAAAAAGTGAAGAGACACGCGACACAATACGACGCCCTAAAGCAAAGCTTATCTTTTTCACGGCGTCACTGTTCAATGAGAAAAAGAAAGATAATTACATTTTCATTTTTTTTTCTTTTCTTTTCTATTCTATTTGTTTAACTTTCGTAAGAGAAAAAACATCCTTTCCATTTTCGTAATAATTAGTATGCTCAATCATGATCAACAAACTTTTATTGACTATGATTACTATTACTTTCTCCCATCAACAAACTTCTTCTTATTCTTCGTCTTCGTAAGAAACAAGATGAAAGAAATAAGACATCGGCTTGAGCAAGCCAAAGGAAGTCTTATGTTACATTGTAAATAACCGATGACATTAATCTATGCATCGTTCTCAACCAGTACATAGGTATATGTATAAATGTAGAATAAATCGAAAAAAATAAGAGTACTTACACTCTTACTTTTTAATGTTTGTCAACTCTTGAGAGAGACAAAATGCGGTATGGCGGCAAACAAAAAGAAAAGAGTTAAATTCTCAACAAGGTTATTGAATGTCTGTCTTCAATATTGACTTGATATTTAGCTCATCGGTTCGATATCCTGAACGTTATGTTCTCAAGCCGGAAATCATCGTTTGTCAATTTTTAAGAAATCAAAAAACAAAAAAAAAACCGAGGTGGCACCGGCAATTTCTTTTTCTTCTGTTGCTTGCTAACAGATTGAAAAAGTTCCGTTTTATTTCATCATAATTCATGTGAAAATTAAACATCAATTGATGAGTATGGAAACAAAAAGAAAATACAAAACAAAACAAAACAAAACAATATAATGTATCGATTTTTAAGAATTTTGTATTAAAAAAAAAAACAAAACGAATAACATTAAAATGAGAAATATTTTTATTGACTGTTATCTAAACACGTGTTGAGATAGATGAGGAGGTTTTTTGTTTCTCTTTAAACTGAGACAATGATCGGCACGTTAAGTAAATTGATAGTCGATTTCGATCAGGTGTCGAATTTATGGCAGCTAGGAATAGTAAATGAATAAATGGCACGTCTTCCTTTTTTTTTCACATATATACATCAGACAACAAAATCATTCTTTTTCTTTTCTCCTCCTACTCAATATGTATTTAGTAAGATAACTGTATATGTATGTTTGAGAATAAAACGAATTGTTAGCTCACGTCTCGATAGTCAATTGAGATTTCTTTTTTTTTTTATATTCATATTAACAAATAATCACTATAAGCAATATTTCATTGTGTATCTTAAAAATCATTTTTTTTTTCTTAATCGATGTATTTTCGTTTATCGAAATGAAATTACTTTAGCAATTTTACATCATTGATGATAAGAATCAAGTGTTTTATAAGTACGCATTTTTATCAATAATACTGATGTTATAGTTAGAGTTTTATTTTAACTAAAATGTTTGTCTTAAAAATTTCTCTTGATATCACTATCGAACAATAGTCTTAAATTGAAAATAGTTTGTTGGAAAACAAATATGAACAAAAAAAAACCTATTTTTATTTATCTTCATATGTATGATTGATATTTTTTTATATGAGAAATTTTTCTATATACATAGTATATTCAATAGAATATCTATGAATAGAAATGTGTGAGGATCATGCTTTTTTTTTAGTTCTAGTCTAGATAATTATTTTCCTGTACAGTCTCAATTATAACTTCAGTATATTTAATCTGATGCCCCAATTTATTCATATTACATTTAAAAAAATTCTTAGATACGCATTTTTTGTTTTGGTATTTATTTAATTGATGACAGATACTTTTTTGTATGCCTTGATAGATATGATTTATAAGATCATTTAGCTATAATCTTTAGTTCAGATTTGAACAAATTTGTTCTTGTGTCTCCTCAAAAGTCCTATAAAATTTTTAAAATTTGAATCTGGTCGTAATTCCAGAACTTAAGTTATTTCAGCACTTGTCCATGTGTTACTTGTCTTTGATTAAGATATTCACAAGTGAAGTGTTAGAAAATGCATTGTTCCAGTCTTATTCTAGTGCATAGAGAAGATTTCTTCTTTTCTTCCTACCGACAGTGACTATTTAGAGTTGATGTTAGTTGAGTATTCTCACCTACCATTACTACTACTATATCTATGAATTTTAATTTTTATATTATAAGGCAAAAATTAATAGAAATACTAAAAATTATACTAAACTTGCACGAAATATTGATGTACTCTACTTATTTTTCTCTAGTAAAAACAAATGAAATAAAGAAAAAAAAAACCATCAAAATAAAAAAAAAGATTAGCCTAAATATGATTGAATACTTCATTTTCAATACTAAAACAACTTGCATCTTTCAAAGAATTGAGTATTTATATCGTAAACATAACTGTATAGAAGTAATTTTTATTCCTTTTGATGAAATGAATTGTTTCTTAATAGTAGATAGTATTATAATTCTATGAAAAAAGAAAGAATGTTCTAAAGAAATAGAAAAACCTACTCAGTATCAAAATTTGATTTACTAGTGAAAATGAAAACTTTGAAATGTAATTGATATATTAAAGAGAATTATACGCTCATAAATCGAGTTAGGATTTAAAGTCTATTGTTTCTAGTACAGATGTCAGTGTGTATATATTGTATTTTTCAATAGTTGTCTCTAGTTATAAATCAACATTGTTTAACTGGTTATTCTTATCAACCATCCGATAAGATGATCATTTGACAAAAAATAATATTTGAAGCAAGTAAAAAAGACTTTTTCATGAAGGACAATATTTAGCAAATGTGCTGAAAAAAAACATTTGTTTTTTCTAAATCAAAATCGGAGAAAAATATGGGCTTTGATATTCAACGATTTCCTAATGGTGTTGATGAAGAATTAATCTGTATGTGTCAAAAAGTTATCTTTCGATAATAATTTATGAAATTCTACATTCATTCAGGTGCTATTTGTGGTGGTGTTCTTCAAGATCCTCTTCAAGCTCCAACATGTGAACATGCTTTTTGTCAAGTAAATAAATTTTTATTTGATTTAAACAAAAACAAAAAAAAAGAACCGTTTTCCTTTGTAAAGATTTGTATTAATGAGTGGCTTTCCCGTGTACAAACATGTCCTATCGATCGAATGTCAATGGAATCAGATCAATTAAAACCAGTGCCACGTATACTTAAAAATTTACTTAGTCGGTTAGTTTTTTATTTATTATAATATCTGAAGAAATCTAATATATTGTTTTCCCGGTAGTTTAAATATAACATGTGAAAATGAAGGTTGTACTGCAGTAGTAAAATTAGATAGACTTCCTAATCATTTAGCTGAATGTGATTTTAATCCAAAAAAATTAATCGAATGTGAAAATGGTTGTGGTATGATGATATCTAAAGATAATGTTACAGTAAAAAAATTTTTTTTTTTTTTATTTAATAAATTTAAAGAATTATTCTGTTTGATTTTTCTATTTTAATAATAGAATCATAATTGTATTCAAGCATTAAAAAATGAATTGGATAATGTTAAAAATGAATTACAAAAATGTCGAACCGATATGGATTTATATAAGGGAGAAGTAAGAACACTTCAGGTAAGAATTAAAAATAAATTTTCGTTTATAGTTTTTCTTAATTTTCTTTTTTTTGTTATCAAAGGAATTTATTCGTGTTCTTCGTCTAAATAATCCAACAATATCACGTGTTTATGAACGTGTAGAAAATGATGAAATATTACGGTAGACAAAAAAAAAATACATTGGATTTTTGTCATAAATGATTTATTTTTCTTTTTCTAGATGGTCAGGTAATTTACAATTAGCTCGTGTAACACGTTGGGGTGGAATGATATCAACTCCAGATGCTGTTTTACAAGCAGTTATTAAACGTGCTTTACTTGAAAGTGGTTGTCCAATTAATATCACAAATGATCTTATGGAAAATGCTCATGAAAGACATTGGCCACAAGGACTTTCAACACTAGGTTAATATAATTTAATTTTTTTTTTAGAAAAAAAAACAACTAATTTTGATTTTTAGAAACTCGACAATTAAATAGACGACATTATGAAAGTTATGTTTGTCGACGTATTGTTGGTAAACAAGCTGTTGTTGTAC